GAAAATATAATATTATAATATTAATATATTTCTTTTAAATTTATTAAGTCTAATTAAAACTAGTTTATTAGTTAAGTTATATATATAATAAATAGTATTTTTCTTTAATTTATAATAAATATATATAATAATATATAAATAGATATTAAATATTATAGATTTAGTTTTTTATTTTAAATAAAGCTTATATTAGAATTATATAAATTATATAAAATTATATTTTCTAATTAAATAAAAAGCTTTATATATTTAGCTAAGTATTAGGAAATATATAAGAAAATATTTCTAGCTTTAAAAAGAGATATTAATTAGTCTTTATTAAAATTAACTCTTAAAAATTAGTTATATTTATAAGTATTATTTTAAAGCTTATTTATTTTAATTATTTATATATTATTCTATTATTATATATCTTATATAATTATATAATAATTTTTTAATTTAAACTAATATTAGACTTTTTAAATACTTTATATATTTATATATATATTTTTTTATTTTTTTATTTTATATATTTATATTAATTAAATATTTAAAAGTATTTAATAACTTTAATTTTATTATAAAATTAGTAAAATTTAATTTTCTTTTAATTTATATAATTTATATAATTTCTTATTATTTATATATTTAATAAAAATATATTATATTAATTATAAGATATTTCTTTTAAATAATATTTAATTTAATAAAATATTTATATAAGAACTTTAAATTTATATAAATAATTAATAATTTATTTATTTTTAATACTTTATTAATTATAGATTTAATTAAAGTATTTATATTAAAATTATAAGCTATATTATATAGTTTTAAAACTAAAGTATTTCTAGTAATTCTTTTATATTTAATAAAGAACTAGTAAATAATATTAATATATTTAATTTAAAAAAAGAAATATTTATTATTTATAAATAAATAAAATATTTATAAAAATAATTAAATATAAAAATTTCTTTATTAGTATTAGTTTACTAATAATATATAATATTATTATATAGTTATAAAATACTATTTATATAAAGTTAATAAAGTTATTATTCTTTAGAAATAGAAATTATAGTATTATAATATTAATATATAATTTCTAAATTTACTAAATCTAAAAAAATCTAATTTATTAATTAAGTTATTTATAGAATATAAAGTTATATAACTATAACTTATATCTTATATCCTATTACTTATATTTTATATTTTATATCCCGTAATTATATATATAATTTCTAAAAAAAAATAGCTATACTAATATTAAAAACTTTCTAAAAAATATAAAAAATAGTATTTTTTTCTAATTATATATAAATTTTCTAATTTGGCCTAATACTAGATTTTCTAAATATTTTATATATTTATATTACTTCTAAGGTTTTAGTTATATACTAAAGGCTATAGTCTTTTATATATAACTTTTCTTTCTATAATATTCTCTTATTTTATATATTTATTTCTTATTTTATTTATATTAGACCTATTTCTTTATATCTAATTATATAGTATTTATATTAATTAGATATTTAAGAGTATTTATTAGCTTTAATTTTATTATAGAATTAGTAGAATTCGATTTTTCCTTAATTTATTTAATTTTTATAATCTTTTATTATTTATATATTTAATAGAAATATATTATATTAATTATTAGATACTTTTCTTAAATAGTTCCTAATTTAATAAAGTATTTATATAATAACTTTGAATCTATATAAATTACTATTAATAATTCTATTTCTAGTATTTTATTAATTATAAATTTAACTAAAGTATTTATATTAAAGCTATAAGTTATATTATAAAGTTTTAAAACTAGAATACTTCTAATAACTCTTTTATATTTAGTAAAGAACTAGTAAATAATATTAGTATATTTAGTTCTATTTACTAGAACTAGAATATATCTAATTTAGGGAAAAAAATCTTTATTATTTATAAATAAAATATTTATAAAAATAATTAAATATAAGAACTTTTTTACTAGCTTTATAAATCTTAGTTCTCTAGTAATATTCTTAATTTATTATTAAATATATTTATTAAATACTTTTATATTAGTTTTTAAAAATTTAATAGCTTAAATAATAATTAATAGGTTATATAAAGCTTCTAGTTAATAGGCTAATATAATATATATTTTCCTAGTATATTAAATAATATATTAGTTCTTAATAAAGAAATCTTAATAAATAATACCCTTATTACTTATAATAATAGTATTTTTTATAAAAATAATTTAGAGGTTTTTATATTAGTATTCTTATATAAAAGTATTAGTTTACTAGAAATATATAATACTATTATATAGGTATAGAAGTACTATTTATATAAGATTAGTAAAGTTATTATTTAGAAGTAGGGATTATAGTATTATAGTATTAATATATAATTCCTAAATTTACTAAGCCTAAAAGGGTCTAGTTTACTAGTTAAGTTACTAATAGGATACGAGGTTATATAACTATATCTCGTATCTTATATTCTATTACTTATATCCCGTATTCTATATCTCGTAATTATATATATAATTTCTAGAAAAATAGTTATACTAATATTAGAAACTTTCTAAAAACGCGAAAAATAGTATCTTTTTCTAATTATATATAAATTCCCTAATCCGGCCTAGTACCAGATTTCCTAAATACTTTATATATCTATATTATTTCTAAGGTTTTAGTTATATACTAAAGGCTATAGTCTTTTATATATAACTTCTTCTCTTATAATATTCTCCTATTTCATATATTTATTTTCTGCCTTATCTATATTTAACTTATTTCTCTATATCTAATTATATAATATTTATATTAATTAGGTACTTAAGAGTATTTATTAGCTTTAATTTCGTTATAAAATAGGCAGGATTTAATTCTCTCTTAATCTACTTAACTTCTGTAATTTCTTATTATTTATATACCTAATAGAGATATATTATATTAATTATTAGGTATTTCTCTCGAGTAATACCTAATTTAATGAGATATTTATATAATAACTTCGAATTTATATAAATAACTAGTAGTAGTTTTATTTCTAGTATTTTATTAATTATAGATTTAACTAAAGCGCCTATATTAAAACTATAAGTTATATTATAAAGTTCTAAAGCTAGAATACTTCTAGTAACTCTCTTATATTTAGTAAAGAACTAGTAAATAATATTAGTATATCTAGTTTTATTTACTAGAACTAGAATATATCTAATTTAGGAAAAGAGATTTCTATTATTTATAAATAAAGTATCCGTAAAAATAATTAAATATAAGAACTTCTTTACTAGCTTTACGAATCTCAGTTCTCTAGTAATATTCTTAATTTACTATTAAATACGCTTATTAAGTGCCTTTATATTAGTTTCTGAGGGTTTAATAGCTTAAGTAATAATTAATAGATTATATAAAGCTTCTAGTTAATAGACTAATATAATATATGCTTCTCTTATATATTAGGTAATATATTAGTCCTTAATAGAGAGATTTTAATAAATAGTACTCCTACTACTTATAGTAATAGTATTTTTTATAAAAATAGTTTAGAGATTCTTATATTAGTATTCTTATATAAGAGTAATTCTAGTAGTATTTATATAGATAATACCTTTATTAAATTTGAGATTATAATTAAAAGTAAGGAATTTATATTCCTTAGTTAAGAACTTAGCCTTATAAAGCTTTAGTTACTCTATTTTTATAAAATTATTAGTTCTAATAAATAGGGTATTATTAGTTTAAAGGCTAATAATTTCAAAGAATTACTTACTATAAAGTAAGTAAGGGTTATAAATTAATTATTTTATAGAGAGCTTATTAATATAATAGGAATAATAAGTCTTAAACTAGTAATTCCTAGCTTCCGGTATACTATATAGTAGTTTTATAACCTTTAGAATAGAATTATTCTTTAGATTTAGCTTTCTAATAAGCTTATAGGATAAGTTAATATAGAAATTATAATTAAGTAAGGTTATTAATTAGATATAAGCTTACGAGATATTATATAAATATAATTCTATAATATTTATTATTATAGTAATAATACTAAGAATAATTCTCTAGCTAATATATTAGATAATAAGTAATTATATTAATACTATATATTTCTTACTATTATTATAAGCTTAGATAATTAGTCTCGACTTCTTAAGCTCTTTTTCTATATCCTTATTCTTAATCTTATTAATAAACTAGGAATTAAAAATATATATTTTCTTTAGTACCTGAGATCTAAAAATAACCTCAAATATATTCTTTTCCAGAAAACTAGTAACTTTAACTTAATAGGAATTCTTATATAGTTTATTATCTTATAGGAATACTATAATATCCGGGATCTTATAAGAGTATTCTTTATTATACTTTAGTAAAATAATAAGAGGAATTATACTCGTATTACTTTTGGCCTTATTATTAGATTCGGGAATAAGTTTAGATTCGGGGCTATTAGTAATAATCTTAATATTTTTTATATAAAAGGGCTTTATAAAGGTTAAATAGAAGGTAATATTACTATATAATAGAGCTAGTATATAGTTCTCCCTATTAATAGCTACTAGCTTATATAGTTTATTCCAATTACTAGATTAACTAGTATTTCCTTTATACTAAACAAGAATATTCGAATTTAGGAATAGTTTATAAATATTAGTAATACTAGAACTATTTCGGGTATTTAAAGTATTTATAATTTAATATCTAGCTTAAAGCTTCTAAATTTCTA